CTGATTGTAAAAAGAATAATTGTACAAAGAACGAGTTGTACAATCCAGTGGATGTAAATACTATTAGTAACTTGGATTGTAATAATCCAACGGTCGTTATTCTCGAATATTTTGAATTAAGACAACGACACAGTTAGAATTTGTAAATCCAATCACTCGCGTTCAGAGTCCTGTACAAGCGGTTGTATCCCATTAAACCTTTCAAAATTCGATTATAATTATTTCTACCTGTCAGACAAAACCTTCTTATTTTTTCTTGCACAGTCACTTTCAACAGTTAATCAGTCCCTAAATGCAGAAGACAACAAATGTTTAGAAGAATTTCTCACGTCTGTGAAATCGCTAAAAATTTCCCTCAGGGCGGAAAATAAAGGAGTTTTACTTAATTTTAACAACGATATAATGTCGGACATCCATCAGAAACTACTCACCAAACATTACGGAGATCTCAAGTTACCAGACACCCCTTTATCTCTCACTGATCATTGCTCGAACAAACTAATTAGACTCATGGCGGACGAGGACAAAATTCTCAAGGATTTGACGATGGCAGTAGAAGAAGGCAGACCATTGGATAGATTCGGAGCTTACCTAAAGAATTTTCAAAGAGACATCCATGTTAAAGAAGGATTGTTATTTAACGATAACAAACTGAAAGTACCAGCAGCTCTGAGGTCGCCATTTCTGTCGCTACTCCGTGAAACTCACCCAGGACAATAGAATTTAAATAGCCATGAAACGAAATATTCTACAAATGAATTGTTGGGAGTAGTCTGGGCTGCAGAGCATTTTAAAAATTACATGTATGGCGTTGAGTTTGAAATCGTAACGAATCACAAGGCATTGTCATCAGCCCTAAATGCCAATCGAAGTAATAAAATTATGCACAGCAGACTAACCCGTTGGGTAAATCGACTTTTAACATTTAACTTCAAGATCAAACACATACCAGGAAAAGAAATGGGATTTACAGATCTACTGTCGAGATTATCTTCAGGAAAACCCCTCCCAATTTGTAGTGGCAACAATTAGAAGATTGTAGAAAACCTCTCTATAAATACTGATTGTAAAAAGAATAATTGTACAAAGAACGAGTTGTACAATCCAGTGGATGTAAATACTATTAGTAACTTGGATTGTAATAATCCAACGGTCGTTATTCTCGAATATTTTGAATTAAGACAACGACACAGTTAGAATTTGTAAATCCAATCACTCGCGTTCAGAGTCCTGTACAAGCGGTTGTATCCCATTAAACCTTTCAAAATTCGATTATAATTATTTCTACCTGTCAGACAAAACCTTCTTATTTTTTCTTGCACAGTCACTTTCAACAGTTAATCAGTCCCTAAATGCAGAAGACAACAAATGTTTAGAAGAATTTCTCACGTCTGTGAAATCGCTAAAAATTTCCCTCAGGGCGGAAAATAAAGGAGTTTTACTTAATTTTAACAACGATATAATGTCGGACATCCATCAGAAACTACTCACCAAACATTACGGAGATCTCAAGTTACCAGACACCCCTTTATCTCTCACTGATCATTGCTCGAACAAACTAATTAGACTCATGGCGGACGAGGACAAAATTCTCAAGGATGTGACGATGGCAGTAGAAGAAGGCAGACCATTGGATAGATTCGGAGCTTACCTAAAGAATTTTCAAAGAGACATCCATGTTAAAGAAGGATTGTTATTTAACGATAACAAACTGAAAGTACCACCAGCTCTGAGGTCGCCATTTCTATCGCTACTCCGTGGAACTCACCCAGGACAGTTCGGAGTGAAATCTCTGGCAGAAAATATTTGGTGGCCACATTTATACAGGGAGATTTATTATCATGGGAAAAACTGTATCCAGTGCATCAAGGCTGGTAAGAATTTAAAAGTTATTTTGGGTACGAACAATACGGAGAAATTACCAATTCTCTCAGAACCAAACGAAGAAGTAGACTTAGACTTTGCGGGTCCTTTGGACAAAATTTGGGGCAACTCAAAATACCTTTTACTTTGCATCGACCGCTTCTCAAAGTTCCCGTCAGCAAAGGTAGTGAATAACACCTCGGCTTCTTCGATTTTAGCATTCACGACAGATTATTGTCACTTTCATGGATTTCCGAAGTCTATTAGAGTCGACCAGGGGTCATGTTTTTCTTCAAATGATTTTAGAAACTTCTGCGAGAAGAACAATATTAAATTAATTCTTCGAACTGTCGGGGATCACAGATCCAATGGAGTCGTAGAACGACTCATTTACACGGTTAAAGCAAAACTCTTGGCAATGTCGTTTAACGATCCTAAACCATCTTTAAATTTGGCTTTTGATAAATTCATCTGGAATATTCGTCGACGAAACAATCATCCATTGGATGCTCTCCTTTTTCAAAACATTTTAATAGATCGCCTAACACGTTTTGGAAATACCTAGTCTCACACGCGATTAATTTAGATAAAGGGAAGTCAATATTGTCAAAGGATAGAGCTCAAGACTGGGGAGCAAATGACGCATTCGGGGACGGCTATCTGGAGAAAACAGCGGCAGACAAAAGGGGGTATGAGAGCGACCCATCAGACACACTGGACAGAAACCTTCAGCAAGCCCTACTGTCAAACCCATTCAGCCAAGGAGATAAATGGTTTAGGAAGAGAATTAACCGAACGGAAGGCAAACCGTATTTTAAACCACTTGGGGGAAAACCGCTGTCGGATACAAAACATACGGTTACATTAGACAATGGACTTGTACTCAGAAAATCCGATTTAGCTTTTAATAAAAATCAACCGTCGGCTCCCAGTAAATTTTCAGCAGTTCCGAACTCGATAAATAATAGTCATGATTTAGCAGTTAGCAGGGCAACGAAAGGAAACTCTCCATTGAAGAGACCAGACTCGAACGAAGGAGGCCCATCGACGAGCTATAAACCAACGGGAGAAAAGGCGATGAAAAGGAGGAGAATAAAAACCCTGAGTTTTAAAGGTTCAAATTTTGCGTTCACTGAATTAGATTCCTCGCTAGAGTTAGACCATTGGGACAAAGTTATCGATGATTATTTGGGTACGGACTCGGAAATTGTATATAATACACCGACTTTTAATATTGATAGTGATTTAGACCAGTCAAGACACACCCTAACGAGTGAAACCAACACTCAGAGGACGAGTATTCTCCGTACGGGCACAGGCGATAACCCAATTAGGATAGACAGCTCTCCCAAAACGCCAAAAAGCAACAAACCACGGCCCAGAAGGAATCCAGGCCCCCCTAAATTTTACGGAGACAGGCGCTTCAGTTGACCCTAGGAGTAGAAACCATCGAAATAGCGGATTCTGACGACGAACCCCTGATAACTTTCTCCGGCTCGAAAAGCCTACAGACTACCTTTCCCAAAGACTCTCCATCGGACTACCTGACACCACTCGAAGACATACCTTTCCATCCAAAACTGGTGGCGGAAACTACACAAGGCTCCTCGTCAACTCCTACCTCCTTGACGCCAAAGATCGCGGTACTATCCTCTCCATTGGAAGAAGTCAGACCTGACATTCAGGACTATGATGGGAGTGATATATCTTCAGGCATAGACACAGATGTAAGGAAAGAGGTCGACAGTTTCCATGACATATTTAATGCCACATACTGAATTTCCGAAAACTGAAAAACTCGTTTAGCATAATTTTAGTACTGATATATTTTTTTTTCAACTGATTAATTATGTTACGTATCTGTACTAATTCTCAAATTGAGCGATTTTGTACATTTTAATTAGTTAGTTATGTAGGTTAGCTTATTTATTTTGTCGATATGTCACATAACCCCAATTATACAAGTCATTTTGTCAGCTGTACAGTCACTGTACATATCTGTTTAATCTTGTAGGTAGCCTGTAAAAATTACCATATAATCATCTCCATTGTAAATTGTTATCTGTGTGAATTTCCATTGGTGCTAAACCCTGTTACTTTTGTTTCACTTTTGGCCCTGGTGGAGTGAGTGGAGAATGGAGTATATGGGTGATATTGGCTACAATGAGGAGTGGGCAGATATAAATTTTTGTGCAGTGGGGAATGTTGTGATTTAGTATTTTAGTATCTCTTAATCTTGACCTCTATAGATTAATCAAGTACCAGTGAATGTCTACTCTACGAAGTCCAATGGACTTCGCGTCACTAGTTGCTCTTTTAAGACATCGGTCAGTTTTAATTTACACCTTATTTTATTCCTTTTTAACCGTAGTTAGTTAGCATAATTACCAGTGGCATTTCTATACTTTCATTAAATGTATTCCTTGTAGCTTGAATTGATTGTTTTCTCTGTCTGTTTTATAGTCACTGAGAGTGATACAGCAGTTCAAACTCTGAGCTCTCAGCTGTATACCAATGTCTCTGATCGAGTGGACGCATCTTAAAAATAATAATTAATACCACTGAAGGTTGTTTTTACATCATGCGATTACTGCTATTGCAGTAGCAGTATGACAGACACTGACAAGGAAACTCAAATTCATCGATTTTTTCCCTTGAACACCAGCGCTGGAAATCATACTCATGATGCCATGGCGGCTACTTCTTATATTGTATTTTTTGCCCCAAATAGAAAAAGCCTTTGTCATTTCAAGCTCTTAGCTTAGGCCCAGAAGCTAGAAGCAAGAGAGAGCTCGTCCTCGCTCACTATCACTATCATTATTATGACAGGTGATGGAATACGCGAGCTGACAACCTCAAAGTGAACGCTTGCCTTCTAGGCTAACTCCTTATCAAGCGGGTGTGAAATCATAGGAGGGCAAGGTTCCCTAAGATGCCATGTTTGCACTTTTGAATCTGACCGCCAACATAATTGTTTAACCATTTTGATTTTGTAGAGAAACTCCATCTCTGCAATGATTGTGAGTGAATTGCAAAGAATTGCTATTTAAAAATGGAGGCGGAGTAATAAGCAGAATGGTCCAAGTGCAGAATGGGTCCAAGAGCAGAAGAAGAAAAAAGTATTGACCAATATTGATTTATTCGGGCTAAATCATAAAACAGTTATTAGAATCGTCAAAAAAACCAAAAAACGAATAAGTTATGCTGGAATTGACTAATTTCATTAAGTTTTTTGATTAATTTTTCTAAGATTTTTGATTAAATTACTCAAATTATGCATAAAATGTTCTTTGCTTTGGTATTAACATTCTTGATATTTAACTTACCGATTAGCTTATAAAAGTTGATGTTTTTCTGTTTTTCTGCTATTGGACCCATTCTGCTCTTAGACCATTCTGCTTATTGACAGGCCACCTTTAAGAACAAAGAGATTTTTAAACTTTTTTCAGTGGTCGGAGCAATTAGAACGCAGAATGCAGAATTGTATTTTTTGCTCCAAATAGAAAAAGTCTCTAAAAGTTGATAATATAAAAGTGCACGTTTGCCTTCTAGGCTATCTCCTTATCAAGCGGGTGTGAAATCATAGGAGGCAAGATTCCCTAAGATGCCATAATCGGACTCGATTAAAGTAGCGCAGAATGTTCCAACCACGCTTTTTCACTCACCTGCCAGATGTATTTACTCAGGGACGAAATCTGTTCCTCATGATTGTGCAAACACGTCACAAAGATGACGTCTTGGATTATGGGGAATCCGGATGACCTGTTGCGTTGCTCGTCACTCGGTTGCTTGAACTTGTCTCGCAGAAACGTCCGCATCATCTCGAAATATTCGGGTGCCCAGCCTATAAGCACAGATAGAATCAAAGTTTCAAAATTATATTCACTAATTTTGATCAATCGAAACTCAAATTACTGGCTGTTAGACAGACTTCTAGAAGCAAGTTTTTTTTTGAGAAAAATATTTCGGTTGATTGCCTATACTTCGATTTAACCTCGCAGTATGTTTTTCTTTTCTTCGTAAAATCTCTAGCTGCGATTATTTTCATCATGAGTTTCACATTGCTTGGAAAAACTTATCCGATTTGAGGCTTAATATTTCTGCCAGTTTATAAGGTAAAAAATACGCTTCAGCGGATTTCATTTCAAATCTTCTCTTCTCTTTCGCAATTGGGCTCACCAGGGTCGTTTATAATTGGGTTAATTGTAGGGTAACCTTGTGCGTTTCTTGCTTGGTCCTTCCTGGTGCCAACGAGAATGAAGCGTGCATTTGGGATGCGACAGTAGATGTTGTTGAGCCACTTCTTCAGCTCCTGCAGCAGACTGCGTTTGTCCCTCACTCGGTACTTTCCCTCTGCCGTCTTCTCAACTGTGTTGAACACCAACAAGTACAAACAGCGGCGTGAAATGAAGTACTGATGAGTAATTTGGTACACTTCTTGTCCTGCAAAGTCCCAAGTGTCGAACCAGATCGGAGCCATCTTCCCATCCGCCCAGTCTTTGGGGAACACCCAGTCGTTCACATCGATCCCAACTGTGCTCAGAAATGGCATCCGGTTTCGCTCCTGTTCCAGCTTTTCAAACTCGTAATGCTGTCGAATCGCGTATCGCATCACGCCGGCGTATTTGTTGGAGCTGGACCCGTTGCCACATTTGGCCAGCGCTTTGACCAATGAAGTTTTTCCAGCATTGCTTTCCCCCATGAACATCAGTTTCAATCGCCGCCACGCAGATTTTCCTTCTCTTTTGGCCGATAAAATATTCAGAATGTTTTTAGCCGATCCTTTATGATTGCGTAGCATCTCATCGGCTACTTGGCACCCCTCGAAGGAGAACGTCTGCAGTTTGTCCAGCAGTGCAATATCCTCCGGAATAGTTCTGATCTCGGGGTTATTGTTTATCTGCAACCAACCAAGGTTTCGCAACCTTGTGATAGAGTCCGAAATTTCTTTCAAATTGCAGTCATTTATGTGCAAGTTTCCCAAAGCAGGTAGTCTTGTAGTAGGAATCAAAATGTTCTCTCGTCTTTCTAGATAATCGAACTCGACTGTGGTCAACTTTTTATTGTGACTCAAGTCTAGACTTTTCAGAATTTCGAGTCTCATGTGGCTATTATGTTTGCATCTTTCAACGTGTGCCTGGTGAAAAGGGGAATCTTTTCGGTCAAAACAATCCGCACAATCTTCTTCCACAATCCAGTTTTCGCTTGACCGCATGCAACTAAGGTTCTGTTTCCTCAAAAACTCAATTGAGGTCAGTTCGTTCGAGTCAAAGTTCATTCCCATGATGGTCGGCGGAAACTGCTCGGGGATGGAAATGTTGTTGATTTTGTTTCTCTCGCAGTACAAGTAATGAAGTCGGGGCGCCAAACAAGCCAGATTATAAGGTAGTTCCTCTAAACTGCTGTCACGAACCGTCAAAGTGTGCAATCTGAGCCCGTAATGTAGTTCCCCTTCATCATAGCAGAAGTTTTGTTGTGGTCTAACGTCATTGGCTGAAATGTAGTGCTTCTCAAAAAAGGAAACCCGCTTGTATTGTGGCTTTGAAACATGCGGTCGATCAGTTGAAACTATTTCAAAGTCCACTACCTCGCTGGCACTTGAACTGTCTTCTGGTTTAGAACCATTCGATGGCTCTTCTTCACAATCTGAAGCTGAAGCTTTTGAAGATCGCAAAGAATTTTTACTCTTCCTCCAAATTTCTCGGAAGCAGCTCAGATTTTTAACTGGTAGTTTTTTCAAGTTCGGGTTTTTGGAGAGGTTAATGTCTTCAATGGCATAAGCCATCCACATACTGACCGGAAGTTCCGAGAACAAGTTTGCACATAGACTGAGCATGCGAAGTTTCTTCATTGAAAACAGCCAACTGGGAATCGTTTCCAGATCTAAAGCAACACCAATTGCCTTAGCATCTTTCGTCTTTTAGTTATCATATTCAGAAGGGCATAACAAACTATCAAATTGCGAAAACCTCCATCCGTGTGTGTAAAATTATAGAAACTCTTTTCACTGTTTTAGCAGGAAACAAATCTGAGACCAAGTGAACAATCTCCCCCTCCCTCCAAAAAAAATCAAACAAGGGAGGAGATTTTGTTAAATCCATTCTTTTTGGGACAATGAAAGTTCAGACTTTTCATAATGGCTTTAACTACGGTTAAATTTGCTATTTAATTTCAGGGGTGTGATTGTTCACTTGGTTACAACATTATAGTATTGTCCACATCTGCCCAAAAGAATTCAATCTTGGGAAAAAGTCGTTTCAATAATTTTCTGAAGGATGAAATAGTTAAGAAATTTTCAACGTTGTCGACTTTTTTATGTAAACATCAACGATATAAAGTTGAATATATATTTTTTGTTGACTGATAGAAATGAAAAAGAAACTTTTTTTCCGAGACCAAAATGTCAATTGCAAGCTTTGATCATCACTCGAAACTCGCATCACTATACAAGGGATTTTTGCTATACTAAGGCATAAACAGAGCATTCGTTTAGAAAAGAGCGTATCAATGAAAGAGTTCGTAAAAAACTGTTTCACTTCTTAAAATTTTTTTGATGCTAGATCGAATTAAAAACGAGAAAAAAAAACACAAAAAAACACGCGAATACAAAGTTCTTTTACATTTTTCAATTGGCTGGAGCAAGAAGGATAGCTAGTAACAAAAAAAACTTGCCCATTTTATTCCAACTACCGATGTGAATGCAAAAACAACAAGGATAGCCCGTTGCTGAGCAAGTAGCACAGAAAATTCCTAGCACATTCGTAAAAAACTGTAAGTTTTTTTAAATGTTTAATTTAGCGTCGTGTCTACTGCGAGTTGTGATTATAGAACTATTCAAACATACGCCTAGAAATGTTAGTGTTTTTTTACATAAATTATTACAACTGTTTTTAAAAAAAAAACAAAAACAAATCAAGAAAACAAACCTAACAAGTTTTTTAATTACTTGCTCTAAAATTTTTAATTTTGTGTGAAGACTTTGATGACAAAAAACGCTTAATGCCACCTCCAAAACTGGTTTTCTTTTTTTAAAAATTATTTTGTTTAGCCTAAATGGCCAATATTGATGAACTAAGAACATTAGTCGATAGTTTTACCGGCTCAAAAATAGAAGAAAAATCAAAATCTTCCAACCGGTTTTTCTCGACACTGATTTTTTATGTCATCCAAATTACGACTGAAAGGGCTTCAATATGATATATCACTCAACCCAATTCGATGATTACTTTATGGTACTTTTTTGCGTGGAAAACAAAAAGAAAAAAGTTAAAACACGCCTGAATACTAAGTTCCTCCGCATTTTTCAAATGGTCGGAACAATAACAAATTGGAGATCAAACTGAGTTTTCATAAACAGACAATAGGTATGGGATGAGCAAAGTTAATTAGAGCATGATCATACTATTACAAAAACTTTATTAGAGCATGATCATACTATTACAAAAATTTATCATTATTTGTAGAAATGAATTTTAAAAATTTAATTTTTTTTTTGGTTTTCGTTTCATCTTTTAAAATTTTTTTGATGCTAGATCGATTTTAAAAACCACTTCTAGGACAAAAAATATACGGGCTTGTAGGTTGTGTTTAACTTTTCGTCAGCTTCTTTTAGAACTTACTGTTTCGGTCCAGTACCAGGATCTCAATTGGACTTTTCTCAGCCCCACAAATGCTCGGAAGGCTTTTCAACGAAGAGTTGTCAGTCACAGAGAGATAATTCAAACTGCGGAATTCAGTGAAGAACCTTTCATCTAAACTATGCAATGAACTGCAGTTCTCGATTTTGACAGTGGTGATCAAATCAGTCAAGAGATGCATCGGCACTATTTTCAAAGTGCTCAAGTAATATTGGAACTCGGAACATCTTCGATAAAAGTGCAAAATGGTCTTCAAAATCAGATCCCGATCTATAGATTTCCTGATATCTATACCAGTGAAGCTCACTGAAAGTGGTTCCAGGGTGAAACTTATTTTCTGTGACATTTTCCGCGTCAAGTTTCCAGTTTGTCTGAACTCGTGAAAGGCGTAGGCTGATGTTTGTCGGTAGAACATGACTTTGTGGTCTGCCAAAGAGGTTTTATGAAAACCGAGGGGTGCGAGAGCTTTCTTCAACTCGTGAACTAATTCAGAGCAGGGCACTCCTGATTTGCGGCCAGCTGAACTTATCTGGTTTCCCGCATCGGATATTGCGGGCCAGCTGTTTGCTAGAATTAAATCCGAGAGCTCGTCGTCGAATTCGAGAATGGAAGCCTCTAAAGCCCGTTGGCCTTCGTCTTTGGCGTGGAAATCCATCATAAGTTGAACAATTTTTAGCCTTCCAATAGAATGCAATGCAACATCATCCCCCGCTCATCTTAAACGCCTAGAATTTATTAGAACAATTTATTAACCCTACTTCAAAATGCAAGTATGAACTGATTTTAATTAAGCTCAGCGGCAAAAAAGACAACATATATGGGGATGAGGAGCTGACATTGCATTGCATGGCAGGCAAACCTTTCTTGCCCCATTGCTGACGCCTCTAACAAAAGTGACATCGATTCCGCCGACTTATTGGAGTCTTCGGAGAAGTCAGGAAAACCGAACTTGATGTTCGGGTTGGCGCCATTTTCGAGAAGAAGTCGAATCAACTCCAGTTTTTCCTTCGGCTCAAAACTTGAGGACCGGATCAAAATTTGAAGACAACTTTGGGTTGAGTTTATTTGAGCAAATTTTGAGTTGTCGACAAAATTAAGGACTTGTTTTTGAGTGAAGTGACACAGTTTTCGATCTGTCATCAAATCCAACATGTCCATCAGACGTTTGATAATAGTTGAGCTTCCGGCTATACATGCATGGTGTAAAATGGTCGTATTGTCAAATTCTGGCTCGCTTATGTCGACAGGCAGCTCCTCGTTTTCTTTTGCCAATTTTTCTAGACATAAAGAAACACACATTACACTTGTTAAACCTAGTCAATCTCTAACCAAAAGCTGTCCCAGCTATTCCAGAGGAAGGGGGCTTACATTTTTGCCTTTTCCAGATCTGCAAAGCTGGAGATTTCAACAGTAGCGAAGTGCACCAGTGCCGAAAAAGAAAAACTACTAAGCCTTCTTATTATGACGTCTGTTGGGCTAATGCGAAAAAATTAGATCAAATGAAAAAGAACAGAAAAATGTTATACGCGCAACAAATCGTAATATCAGTTAAAAAAACTCTTCATTTTCTGCACTGTTGACTTCGGCACAGTTGAAATGCCCCGCCTAAGCCCTCAATCCACCCAGTTTTGCTTGAAAAAGTTCTGTGCCGGAAGCAAGTTTGTTTGAGAGAAAAATGTCTTTTTAGAATTTTACAGATATTCTATTGTTGACCAGCAATAATTGCAATTTTGAGCGCTGGTGTACACTGGCGCCAAAGTTTTTTAAAGAGGCGAATGTCGGAAAAGTGATCAAAGGGCGATCCTTGGGAATATTTTTTGTAACCAGCATCTCGGAAGGGGGCCAGCATGCAAACAGTGAGGATATCTTACCTAGGGCATCCAAGAGTACTCCTAATTTATCCGTCTGTCGACTGTGGACTAAATGTTGAACCAACGGCACTTGTGAACCTGTCGTACTGAGACCCAGTGCCCTGGCATTAGAATCCAACAGCATCCGGAAAGTGTCCACAC